AATACTTGCTGCGAGTTGGTAGTGGATCATCGTTTCTCATAGAAATTATGAATAAATAAGTAAATAGAATAGATTAAATATTTGAAACTGTATTGGAAATCTATGTTTATATACACGGATAAAAACACAATGAGTTTTTTTTTTCAAACCGAATAATGAGACTTGTAAACATTTCTGTCTAGTGAAAAATAAACGTAACAGGTAACACATGAAACCAAAATATGTCGTGATGAAAAAAGGATTGAAGAACACTAACCCAGAGGTATAGATGCATAGATGCCCAGAATCTTTGCGAAGGGAATTAGAACCTAAAAACTGTGCCTTTAAGCTAAAAAAAAATGTCTGTTTTCGTTTATCTATATGACAAACTTCCCCATTGGTGGAGAGGATTTTGCATTCTGTGGACAAAACGATGAATGATTCATGTTACAGTGAGATTAAATCAACTTGCTCGCTCGCCTTTAACTGTACTTTCCTAGACAAAGAATATACCGTTAACCTTCATAATACTGTAATTCGTAGTTACAGTATTTTGTACATTTGGTAAGCAGCAGTAATTATTTGCTCTCTCTCTCTCTCTCTCTCTCTCTCTCTCTCTCGCTTTCTCTCTCTCTCTCTCTCTCTCTCTCTCTCTCTCTCTCTCTCTCTCTCTCTCTCTCTCTCTCTCTCTCTCTCTCCCTCTCTCTCTCTCTCTCTCTCTCTCTCTCTCTCTCTCTCTCTCTCTCTCTCTTTCTCTCTTTCTCCCTCCCCCCCCCCCTCTCTCTCTCTCTCTCTCTCTCCCTCCCTCCCTCCCTCTCCCTCTCCCTCTTCCTCTCCCTCTCTCCTCCATCTCCCTCTCTCTTCCCTCCATCTCGCTCTCCCTCCCCCCTCTTTTTGTTCTAATCAACGGCACTTCATATACAATGCACCATAATTTTCAAAGCAAAATTTCAAGTAACATTATACCATCATAAGCATCCCATGTGCTAAACAAGTGAATGGATATATTCGCACACGCAGTCTATCTTAAGCATTCGATAGTACCAGTCGTGAAATCATCTTGAGCAAACGAACAACCCTCATAATGATTGAATTATCAGCAGTAGGGCTTTTATCCAAACAATCAGTTTCGTTTACGCTAGGTTTCCCCAGAGTTGATTAAGTAATTCATACACCCTTTTCGAAAAGTAGTGTTGCGAAAAAGATGTGTTTTTTTTTCTACGCTGTTGACGCTCAGTTCTTCCGTTCTAAGAAAGTAAAAATGTGAACGGCTGTATAAGAATATGAAAACCAAGCAGTATTTTGTGTATTTAGGGAGAAGGGTGTGATTGAATAGGGTTTGGCTGTTTGTCTTAACAGTTGCTTTGCTTTGAAAGGTTTGTTTGTTCACCCATCTCTGTCCGCTAAACGAAGAGCATTTTTTTTTCTTCTTCCTCTTTTCCTGTCCCTCCTCCTCCTGTTTTTCGTGGCCGAGTCTTCTTTACTATCGTGTTCTCCTTTTTTTGTTGCTGTTGTTCTCATTTTTTCTTCTATTTCATCTTTTTCGTGTTCTTCTCTTCTCCCTCACATCATCATCTCTTGCATCTCTCCCCTCTCTTAATCTTCCTATTCCTTCACTACTCAGAAGGAAACCAAGTCAGCCACACTCTGTGAACTGTCTTGGTGTGCAGGATGCTATGCACAAGATACGTGTTTACATCTAATTAAGGGGGAATTCGTTAATGCCATTATATGAATAAAATATATACGATTATCATTCATTTTCCCAAATCGATGAATTCACTACTATTACTGGACATGGAACAAGTAAACAAAAACAAATGTTATTAGTAACTCAATTTGTCTATGTACGTTTCGACAGTGAGTGATATCATGAAAAGAAATGTGAATACCACTCTGCAGGATTATCCGTTTTTTTTTATTTCCTTTAAGAAAATATGACTCATTTAAAATCGTCATGATCGGCATCAAAACTAATATCTAAACACGGATATGTACTGAAAAAAACTAAATGAATACATACATGTAAATATAAATAAAAAGTAAATGACATCGCGACTAAGCTGTGTCTCAAATATACTGTATATTGAGTTCAGTTTAATAAACGAGCGACTGCTTATATGTCACGAACGCAAGTGGTCACCTTGAATGTTGCTAGGGCCGTCTGCATGTCTGTCCATTTGTATATCTTACGTTTCTTTTTAGTTTTCTTGGTGGTTACATGCGCCCTCTGAAGGAAAATGGCAATGATTTGTAATAATGTCATGATCTTTTACGAAAAAAAAGATAAATAATGGTTAGCGATAATAATGTGAACTTTTATAAGTAAATGACGATGATTTGAACAATACGATTTTTTCATAGGTAAGTAACAATGACAGTATGATATATTAAAGGTACAAAACAATGATTTGTAATAACAATATGATCTTTTATACGTAAATAACAACGACTTGCAATAACAATACGAATTTTTATAGATAAATGACAATGATTTCCAATAACGATATGATCTCTTTTAGGTAAATAATAATTTGTGATTGCAATGTGGTTGTATTTTTTTTTTCTCGAGGGAGAGTAGACGTTTGTGATCATTATATATTGAAATTCATCACTTCACTTTTATTGATCAATGGGATAGTGTGAATATTAGTCATATATTAGAAGTCCTCTTTGGTTCCTTAAATCATATCGGCTTCGGGAAAGGCTGGAGGGATATCAATAAAGTGGAAATAATATAGAAATAAATAAATGAAAAGAATTAAG